GTACAGGCGGAGACGATCGAGCAGTTGGTGAGCCTTCCATGGAAAGCAGTAGTATTGAGGTATTTCGAAGAGGAAATGAGGACTACGCCAAGAATACATGCTCTCGTGGCAGTACCTTACGTAAGGACAGAATTACAACTCAGGCTCGCCTGGTGCATGATGGGACTGACTCGCGAAGAATATGATTCGGAAGAAAGGAAGAGATCAAAGGAGGAAAAAGTTTTCCTTATGACGAATCTGAGGGATCTGATAGTCCAGGAGGGAGCAGCAGTAGCGTGTGCAAAGCGGAGAGACGCTCTCTGTTTCATTCGATTCCTGATAGAGCAGATCTCAGTACCTGCATTAAGCACTTGTGTTAAAATGTTGAAGGAAGGCGATGAGCGAACGAAAGCCATGTTCTTACTAGCAATGCTGGATATGCAGCAAAGTAAACCGATGAGGGTGAACATGAAAGAACCTGAAGAATTGGAACCCATGAAAAAGATAGACGAGATCAGGAGATTCTCAAACAAGGAGTTGAGGCTCACTAAAGAATCTATGGGAGCATTGCCGAAATCCAGTGAATACTGTGGACCGATCAAGAAGAAGTCATATAGCTATGTATCCGGGATCATAGGGATAGCGTACAATCCTTTCCTGAGTGAAGACATACGCGATTGCTTCTTTGATTATGAGCAGGCGGTGTTACTAAGATTCTGGACGTCCAGGATTGTAACGATTAAAAGCGTCAACAATTCACAGGCCAAATTGGGACTGGTCTTGGAAGAAGAGGTGACTGCACCTTCAGTACCAAAATCCGACAAGAGAGTGGAATTTGGGTTGGGATTCTCAGATGAATTACTGAGAACGAGCTTGATGGCAGTGTGGGAATTGATGAAACCATCGTGGTGTCCTAGTCCCAACGCTGACTCAATATTACGGGCGACACAGGACATACAGAGGGAACTGAATGCGGACTGTAACCTGCGTGACCTCAACATCATATATAATATGATGATAACAGCCTCTAAGAGCAACGGAGAAGATAAAGTGGAGTTGCCTGGCTGGGGACCAGAAGACTGGGTCAAACCTGGTAGCTGTCTGGCGGAAGTCTGTGGACTAGAGGGTCACGTTTGTGGAAGTCTAGACTGTGTGAAAACCCTGGAGAAACAACACAAGCAGTTGACGGTATTGTTTGGAAATGTAGTGATGAAAGCAAGAACGGAAACGGAACTGATAGCAGATTGCCATGGAGGAACCGATGTGAATCTGGTGACAGCACTAGGATTCTACAGCATGTTTGGTTCTTTAGAGTCACTATTGAATCTAGAACAGAAACATGAGATGGTCACAGCCATCAGCGTAGAAGTATTCCCAGGAGTTCTGCAGACTGAGCAGAAGTATATAGGAAAATGGAGGGAAGCAATCGAAACGGAGATGAACATCAGACACAGCGAAACTTATTGTAGACCATCAGGAGCACGATATTTGGTGGGTTCAATGTTGGCTCCAATGTGCAAGAGCAAGTATCCTGTACATTTCGTAGCTGTGGATGTGAAGAGTACAAGAACGATTGTGGATCAAGCCTTTTCAGTGCCGAAGTGCGTGAGGTTGGCAAGAATGTCTGAAAAGTCTTACGAGTTACTGTGTGAGATTTTCTCAGCAGTTCCAGAAAGAACCAAAGAGGAGTTGGAGTCAATACTAGGAAAGAAGTTCATGGGATATGTGAGCGGGAACTTCAGTGACTTTGAAAAACAGAAACAGAGAGGATCAACTGTCACAGATTACAATGCAGTAGATGAGAATGATGAGATCCACCGAGTGATGATGGAAGTGGAGCCATTGCTGGAAGCTTCGGGAAAACGGAATTGGAGGAGCATCATGTTGACACATGACGAGTTTCCTTGCCACTGCTTGCTGCAGACCTGGTGGTATCCCAAGCGTAGTAATCTGGTGTTGATCTGGGACTCTGGAGAGCTGCTCTCCATGGGTTTACCAGATTCATCACAGCCTATAACAATAGTGATAGTGGGAGTTATGATGGCGATACGATGGCTGGAAGCTCATGCGAGAGAAAATAATAGACAGGAGGCACCGACGAGAGAACAACTGCAGAAATTAGATTGTCTAAAAGATTTAGATCTTTTTGAGACAATGTGCAAAGTTCTAAACATTCCGATGGAAGTGAAGAAGATATGGGCAAGAAAACGATTGATGCCATGGTTCAGAGCTAACATGACTGCATGGTTGTACGAGTATGCGAAAAAGCATATGTCGAAACATGGCAGAGTGTACAGTGAATATCAGCTGGACATTGGGGCAGGAGCTTTCAAGCGAGCTTTCGTGACCCATCGGAATGCAGTGACCACCGCTGTGAAAAGAATTTCGAGGACGAGCGAGCGTAGTGGAAATGAGAAGGCAGAGATGCTGAAAGAAGATTTGGAGAGAAACGTGACGTTGTGTCTCCACAACAGCTTCTGTAGAAACAGAGAATCAAACGTGGATCCCCTACCTTGCTGTAAACAGAGGGTGGAAGAGCAGAAGTGTTGGAGGACGGCTTCCAACAGCGTCAGGATAGTCAATGACGTGCTACAAGACACGGAGACCGAGAGTGCAGAGTCAGCGTCACAGGAGGAGGAAATGGAGCATTGATGAATGGTCGAGAAAACAAGAGGCAAAAAGAAGGAAAATTAGAAGAATTTAGAAGTTTTAGAACTTCTAAACGACGAAAAAAGAAGAGAACAAAGGGATGATGAAGAAAAGTTAAAACTCAGAATTGTTTTATGTGTGTGAAAAACTCAAGTGAGAAACCAAGCAACCAAGTTGTAATTGAAAACTGAAACATTTAAGTTGAGTTTGGAAATTGTTGCATTTATAAATTTGCATTTTGGTTTTAGTTGAAGTGGCTTTAGAGACACTCACTTATTATTTATTTAGAAAGGCTTGAGGGAAGAGTATATTTAAATATTCCAGCCTGTATGATTGTTTTTAATCACTTAGGAAGACTGATAACTTTGTGGTGACATGAAAAACTTGAGTAACTTCTTGAGGAGGGAGGTTGTTGCATTGTTCTTTCTAACCACGAGGTCTCTTGGTTTTAATATTCAGGACAATAAACAAGCAAGATTTCCGAAGGGAAGGAGCATAGTAGGATAATTTTAGCTTGTTGGTTGGCAGGACTGTCCTGCAAGCCAACACCTTTTAAATCTAGGAGAAAAAGTTTCAATCGGGATATTGACACTGGAAGTCAGAAAATATGTTTTATCTCAATGTGCAGATTAATGAAAGAATTTGAAGGCTATAGTGATGTAGTATGATGCCATTTATATTCTGCAGTGAGTCGATGTGACGTAGGTAAAAGTAATTTCGTGCATTTTGTAAATTCTGTTCGATGACACTGTAACCATTTAGAACATTGCGCGATTCAATGAGGACATTGACCGGACTGTCCGGGGAGTATGTGACATTCGACCAGAATGGCCAAAATGCAGTCTCTGCAGAATTCAGGATTTTAGCAGTGAACCTTCCGGATTGGCGATTTAGAACGGATAAGGGCGTTATTTGAATGATTGGCCAAACGGTGAAGGCTAGAAGATTCTGGAATTCTAAATTTTAAATTTTCGAAGTGATGACGTAACATTTCTGAGAAATGTTAAAACGGCCATTTTGGCTAAAATAGCAGAAGAAAAAAGAACAACTTTATCTGCGATTACGAACAGTACGAAAATCGAGACTAAAAAACAACAACGAACTACCGAACAGCAGAGGACGTTCCGAGTTGCAACTATTGTGCTGTTACAATAGTTGCAAGGCCGTTGCGAACAACGGTGAAGGGTAAAAACCAGCCCTCCGAGTTAGCGTGAACCTGAGGTTAAGGAGCTTGATTCGCCGGATTCAAGAATCCGGAAGGGTCTCGGGACGGGAACTTTTATGAACTTGTATTGAATTTTAGCATCCTGTCATGTCCTGACTTGAATTTAACTGATATTTTGATTAGTTTTGACAAGGATGAGGTGCTAGGAGTTGGGGGAAAGGGTTGATCCATCTTCGATGGAGATGATGATTTTTATCTACTGAACAAAAACAATAGTAATATGATAAGTAGTAGACCTGTTTTTAGGAGTGACCTCGTGGTCTGGGGATACAGAGACCCAGCCATGAGCTCACTAATTTTGCATGTAATTCAGTTAATTTGAGCGTTCTGGTCGAAGCCGGAGAACAGTAACGTTTTTGTCAGCCTGATGTAAGAAAGACCACCGAAAAGTACTGGCTTGGTAGAGACGGTGAAAAACATGCAAAGCTCTGTGTAGACGCTAGCCAGTCGTCTTAAGACTTAGTTTTGTTATCCGTCGATATGTATCTTCCGGGCGAATGTTACACTGCTGACCTGGTAAGTACTCTCGAAGAAAGCGATTCCAGAAGTGATCTGCGAGTAGTTGGGATGCTTTCCATGATTTTGACAGAGATAAATCCTTGTCCTTGAAGATACCAGGCGGTAAATTTGGAGTTCCACGACCAAGAAGGAAATGGTTGGGAGTGAGAGGCAGATCATCTTTGATGTCGTCAGACACATTGGTTAAAGGTCGTGAATTCATGGTTGATTCAATTTCGGTCGTGAAAGTAGCCAGTGTTTCATAGGAGAGTGTTCTTGATCCGATGACTTTGTACAGGGAAAGTTTAAATATCTGAACTAGTCGTTCCCAAGAACCACCAAAATGAGGGGCCGCAGGAGGGTTGAATTTCCATTCGAGTGATACGTCCAGCTGATTGATGCTTTCCACAAATTCTTTGTTCTTTTCCAAGTTGTCTAGACATTTCTTCAGCTCAGAATTGGAGCCCACAAAACTTGTCCCACAATCAGAAACCACAGCGCGGTTTGGCCGATAGCGTTTAATAGTAACGCCTTTCTCGACCCGATGTTAATGGACCACCCATTGAACTGGCTTTGGTAGAGACGGTTAAAAGCATGTGAAGCTGTGTTTAGACGCTTGCCAGTCGTTGTAGAACCTAGCTTTTTTTCCCGTCGGTATGTACTTCTGAGCGAATGTTAAATTGAGATGGCAGTATTTCTCATATTGTTAAGCAATTTTCACGTTCACTAATCAGGTTTTCACGCTAATTTTCACGCTACACAGGTGTTTTACACGCTAGTGCTTTTAATTTAATTTACACGCTAGTGAATTTTAACTTCAGATCTCGACATGGAAACCAAACCCGAAAAACTAAGGACAACCATAATTTCACCGTTTATCCAAGCGTAAAGCCCCCAAAAATTTGCGTGAATTTATTGTGCAGCGCGATATACATTGAATGCAATATGCCATTTTAGTAGGTACTCTTTTAGAACTCTGTTCCCATTACAAACCACGTTAAGAAGTATGCTCCCATTACAAGCACGCTTAGAAGTAATCTCCCACAAATTAAACTATGGCCCTGATAGCTGTATTACCGATAGACGTTAAAATTAATGAGTCTTTCCTATTATAGCTTTTCTTCTACTTAGTTAGAAACAAATAATAGCATCTTTACACCAAGATTTTACTATAATAGAGGTCATTATTTTGTGGAGAGGGATATAATGGGAAATACCTACTTTAATCCAACCAGTTTCAAAGATTTGCTAATTGGTTTTGTTTTTTCCCCACTGTTTTGAAAGCTTTAGTAGCATGATAGCTAGTTAAGAATGTTTTACTGTGTTCTCATCCAATTAAGTTCAAGTAGATCTTCAAGTAAGTGCTTCAAGAAGATTTCATGCAATTAAGTGCTTACTTCTTAAGGGATCATACTTCTAAACGAGTAACAAAGAAGTTTCATAACACCGTTGCTTTGCATATTGATGAAAAGTTATGCCCATTTACTTGCAATTTTTCTTCTATCAGATTTGATTTGCGTTCATGACCAGTAGATTGAAATGGCAGCTGCCGCTTCGTTTACCATTGACAAAGAAGGTCAAGCAGGTATAGATGCATATTGGGAGTACAAAAAAATAGTTGGAGATGATGACAAGGGCAAGCTGTTCACTGATGCGGAATACGAAGCTTATAAGAAAAAATGGATTCCGATTCGAATGAAGAACAGGATATATGTGGGGTGGCATAATCCTGAGAAAGACATGGACTGCAAGTTGATTGGACCGGAGACCCTGTGCTATTGTGGACACAGGTTAGGTGATGATTTACCAATATTTTGGAATGATAGTTTTTGAAATCCTTTTATGGGAGAAACCAAGCGAAAAACTAGAGAGCGTGAAAACATTGAAATGATTGGTTGTATTAATTTTAAGTGTTCGCGGAAGAACACAAGTAAATGGACCCAAAACTAAATTTAGTCGGAGTTATCAGGGCATCCGTGACGCTTACGAGGAAATCTTGAGGTGCATATTCTGTCCATGTAATAGTTGTTAGCTCTTTTTCTACGTTTTGAACGAAGCTATTTCTGCTGTTGTAGTTATCACACTGCTGTTATTTATTTTTCATGAAAAAAAGACCGCGCGAGGGAGAAATGCGAATTACTGGGATGATTGTTTGCCTCCTTTCAGATACATCAATCATAAGACAGACTTTGAGAAGATCCCCAATCCGATCAAACAGACATGTAGGAACTGTGCTTGCGACAACTACCACTACATTCCACGCAATGGATCTCAGCCGATCAGGTGAGAACTTTCTCATTGTCACTGCTAATATTTTAGAGACAATTCATTAGGGCAGATGTGTTCTCTAATGACGTTCTCTGACTTGAAACTAAATTGCGAGTAGTACTATAATTTCAGAATTGTTAAGCATAATATAGTCATTTCAGTTTTTCTGGCTCTTTTCCCTTCCCCCTCCCCCACCTGCAATGTTTTAAAAGTAAATATACTGTTTCCACCAACCGATTGTTTAAGAGTAATGAACGTAGTGAAGACTCCTATATAGGTCTTGCTGATTTTTTTTTGAGGAAAAGTCTTAAAATGTTCTAGTAACTACAGTTTCATGTGCATTCATACATATTGATGCAATTATGAGTGCATTTGAGTATATATGCATTTTTTGAGTTCAATTGAATTTCAACGAGGCGCGAAAAAAGGTGAACGATTTCTAGTTTCGAAAGTGGAATTTAATTTTTAGATTTCCAGCGTAATAAAAACTTTACTTGTCGATCCAGTTTTCTCCAATTGGGTTAATGTTATCAAAAAAGCGCCGGTCATAAATCGTTCTAGAAATTCAAAGAGCTTAAAAGACATCTATTTTCTTCTTTGAAAATCGAAAGTTGAAATTCGATTGGCTATGTTATGAAAAGGAAAAGAGCCGTTTTTGTAAATATAATAACCTGCCAAATGATATGCTATTCATAAATTCAAATTTTACACTTATTTTGTATAAATAATTTGGTTTTTGAAATAAATTACAAAAAATGTGCGAAGTATAACAAAAAGCGATCCAGCTATTGCAATTGAACCTACCACCTATTGTAATCACCAAAAACGTTTCTATTCAAGCATTATTTGTTTCTCAACGTTGCCCGAAAATGGAAGTTGGCAGGTGAAATTTATTTATAATTGGATCTGGTGCGAATCTAGGAATTTCTCGAGGGGGGGGGGGGCACAATTTTGTCGACTTTTTTTTAGGTCGACCAAATTGATTTTGTGAGCTCTCCGAAACCACTATAAAGACCCAAATTTGACTTTTTTCCTAGGCGTTTTAAGGCACGTTTTGGAAAATTTCGACCAAAAAATCGCATTTTTCGGCGCGCGCTCCCCCCTCAATTAGTATAGATTGGCGCCGAGGGCGCCTTTAGAAGAATTTTAAGGTCAGTCAGCCAAAAATGGATATCTCTAAATAGTACAAAGGGGGGACCCTTTGGGTCGGCTGGGGGTCGAATCCCTGAGGGGAGGGGGGCGTCCGTCCCCATCCCCCTAAATCCGCTTCTGAACTGGATGATTACTCCTTGATAACAAACTTTGAAAGTTTATTTATTTCACAGGTGTACGTGTAAACACTTCCCTGACGAACACAATCTGAAACACCCCTATGGATGCAACAGGTGTGCCTCGGGGCCCAAGAAATGTGGGGAGTTCAAGGGCTCATTCACGTGTGACTGTGGGGCCCCCACCTATAAACACATAATGGTCAAGGAGACGAAGGAGCAGAGGATCAAGAGGGGCAAGCCGGTGGGCAGAGATGTGCCCTACCAGGCCATGGGGGGCAAGTTGTTTTGCCATTCGATAGTTCTATCCAGCCATATCGGGCGCAGAAGTTTGAAACGATCATAAGAAATGATGAAATGCATCCGGGAAATTAAATTCAAACTGTTGCTCCCGAAATCTCTGGTTAAGTTGGGATGTTTTCTAACAAACAGAAGAAATAAAATAGATTTGTTTAGGTCTCACTGGGTTTTCCTCACTCGCTCCTGGAGCCGAGAGACGAGACCCGAGTGGCATCGGACCCAACAATGAGGTGATGGGCGGGGCACCCATCCAGCCGGGCGATCACCCGTTCCTGAAGATGCACGCATTCTCACTGCCAGACAGGGACACCCCCGAGACACAGCAGCTGCAGAGACGGGAGGGGGAGAGTGAGTTGGACTACTTTGACAGACTGTACAAATGGAAGCAGAAGAAGGGATACTTCCTCAAACACTGAACTACTGACTGAAAGTTAACATTGCGCCAAAGCCTGTTTATTTGTTATTGATATAGCGTTTAATGTGTAAATATGTTTGTATTTCTAAGATTGAAAATATGTTTGTAAAATAAAGTAAATATATAAATAATTTAAAAAGCTGCTTATATAATCCAAAAACATTGTTCTTTGACTGAACAAAAAGGAAACTAAAACCAAGTCGACAAATCAACAACTGTAGAGCCTAGTAAAGTGAGTAAATGAATTTGTATACTTGAGGTCATGATATCTGAAAATGTGCTGCTAATGACTCTTACTCTTTGTTCCGATTAGGAATTCGAAAAACATAATATACAAGGCGGTGGACTCTACCAAAAATAACGTTTTGTAGAGAAAGTTACGTTACGCTTGGTTTTTTTTCGTAGAAGTCCGGTGGAAGTCCGGATCCTCTAAACAATCCCCCCGTACCTAGTAAATGTTTAATTCAGATCTGGAAAAAATCTTTTTCAGATCTGAAATGGAGTGTAGGTAAATTCTTACTTTCTATTATATTATTATAATTCTTTTTGGTTTCGGAGTAGATTTAGTTTTTTCGAATTTTCTTAGTTTTTTTTCTATTAATTTTTTCCTTATTTTTCGACCACTTTTTTCGAGTATTACATTTTTAAAACAGTTGAACAAGAAATTTAGTTTGAAAAAATTGTGTCTAGTTATTCGGAAAGTTTTTTTTTACCGCTAACTAACCTAAATATAATTGTATCTTGCAAAAATGTTTTTCTCAATTGTTTGTTCGAAATGAATATATTTACCCGTGCGATAAGCAAGGGTATTGCAATCGGTTACTAGATTTTCTCCGATTCGAATCCTGTCCGGGGTTCGCATCTGACGACCTGTTTTATTTTTCAAGCTTGAAATATTGCGTGTAAAAAATGCCTTGTCGGCTTATTGTTGTCTGCTTAAATTTTGCCGGCTTAGTTGCCGCATTGTCGGCTTAGTAGTTGTCTGCTTAAGTTTTGGCGGCTTAGTTGTACAATGTTTAATTGTTTTTTTTTCTGTACGCAAGTTAATTGTAGTTGGGTTTTGACTAACTTCTGCTGTTAAAAAGTCGTTGAAGGTAGTTCAGACCCTTATATAAGTCCTGATGATTTTTCTCCTTTTTTCACGAAAAGTCCTCAAATTTGTTCAGGCTCAATTTTACTTTTTCGAGGTTGATCTATTTAAGTTCAGTTCATTTCCTTTGTTCAAAAGAAACCGAACAATCGACCAAGGAAAAGGTTAAAAGGGCACAAATAACGTAATTGACGTCTAGTTTTGAAAACGAATTTTGTTTTCCCACCGAATTAAAAGTTTATCGTCTTTTCTCAAAACTTAAGGGCATCTCTTTTTTTGAAATTCGAAACATGAGATTTTTTCAAATCACAACTTAATTTTTTCTCTGATTTATTGCGTTCATTGACTTTTTTCCAAGTGTCCGTTGGCTATGTTTGTTATTATATACTAGCATTGACTTAGTATATTTCTTTTCCTTTGATTTTAAAAACTTTTGAGTCGTTTCGGCTTTGTTTTTTTTTCTTTTTTTCTTTTCCTTTTTTTACGCTTGATAAGTTTGTCTACAATAAATCGGCCTCATGTTCTCATATTGCGTCTTTTGACGAGCGAGTTTTTTAATGCGTGTGTGTATGTTTTGAGGGTGAAAGGGATTTAATAACTTTTTGTTATTCTTAAGTCTTGTTCAAGGGTGTCTGCTAAGGTAGTTTTGTCTTTGCTATCGCTTAGTAAATTTTCTTGCTATGATTATTTCCCAATCTTTTGTCTTGGCATACTTTTGTTTCAAAACTAGCCATAGTTTTTTTGATAGATCTAGTTTGACAAAATTTTCAATATTTTTTTGACAAATAGTCTTTCTTGATTTGTATCAAAAATGGTGCCAGCTCAGGTTCGCCTCTGTGTATTGTTTTACAAAGAGATTCTCAAATCTAATTATTGATCTGAGTTTTTGATTATCGAGGTTGTTTCAGATCTGGGTTTTTCAATTCTTTTTACTGAAAGATCCAAAATAACGAATTTCAGGTCTGAGAAGAAACATCTGTAAGTAATAAAAAAACTTTCAGATCATGTATAGAAAATCCACTGGTTACGGGTCACTTATGATATCTAAAAAAAATCTCCACTCCTACAAATAAGTTCAGTAGATAAGCTCCAGAGCTTTCTATTGAGAATTCTAATGTTGCACGGATTGATCGAAAATTGGATGGGGAGAGATTGTTACGTAGATCCAAACATCAACTTGACAAAATCAATTTGCATTGGCATTATCAATTAAGTGACAATTAAAGATTCTTGAAACTGAAAAAACTTAAAGGTTTTTCTTTTGTTTTACTCACAAGACTGAAATATTGCAAAAATTAGTCCAATTTTCATTCTTTTTGATAACCTTTTGTTCGGTTTTCTTATCCTTGCAATATGCAAGGGCATTGCAATCGGGTACTAGACTTTTTGCCGTAAATAACTTAGTTCACGGAATGGTCAAAAATGAAAAAAAAAATAAATTAAGTTTCGGTTCTTAATGAATTTAATTCTCTTTGCATCTGAGAATTAACGAATACGCCTGGGAAGGCATGAGTACTGTGTTTTTCTCGGTTTAATAGGAAAATCTACTCCAAATTTTTTATCATAAAATTTATCCAATTAATTTAGGATCTGTTCAAAAGTTTTGCAATCAGCGTTGAAAGCCCCCTCGGGTTAATGAAAAAACATGGGTAATTTGATTAAGATGTTACTTGTGTCTTCATCCCTTGGACTATCTGAATGGTTGCTAAATTTGATCTGAAGCTTTTGGCTGTTTAATGTGGCGGTTGATATGTTCGAGTTTTTTGAACTTTCTTGTAGAGCTACGTGACAGTTGAATACTCAACGCTCTGAAATGTTTTTGCATTAGGTTCTATGTTATACCCCGTGGTTAAGTAACCTAAGAGAACACAAAATTCCAGGAGATTCTATTTAGATGTTGAAAAACAGATTAAATTTCGATTTTGATCATACTGAAAAGTAAAAAAAAATTTTGGCAAAACGATAAAAGCTAGTAGTCTACATAAAACTTCTCGTTGCGGAGATTGAACATACGCCGTTTTGTTTCTAAACTGAATTTTTGTTTGACAAAAATTTTCGTGCTAATTTAGATTTGGCATGAGAAATCAACTCAAGGTCCAATAAAAAATCTTATTGTTGTTCTCTGGAATTTTTTTCTTTTCGGAGAAGCAGAACTGATAATTCGTATTTTTTCTGTAGTTTATTATCGTATCTAGCTCAAATTTGTTTTTATAGGTTTAAGCTATTAAATATGCAATAAGAAGTGACATTATTGTTTTGTTCATGGAAATTTCACATACCTGTGATAAAAAACGGGTAATTTTTGTTGAACAATATTTCTAACCCAAATTTAAGTAGATAAAAACCAACAAGCCCAAACTCGTTGTTGAATTCTACCAATATCACAATTTTCAAATTGTTTTTAGAAAGTGTTTTTTGATGATGGAAAACCACAAGATATACAAAGCAAACCACTGTTGCAAAAAAAACATTTAAATGCAAAAAAATCAAATCACTAACTAAGTTGGTTGCGGTGCAAATAGCACAAAATTTTTCGACCACAAAAAGAGAAGTTGAGAAACCGGACAAATTCAAAAAAAATTGAATAAATTAATGGTGGTAACAAAAATGGTGGTAGCAAAACAAATTCCTGTTTTCAAAATATTTATTGTACAAATTTAAATTTAAAAGCTTTAATCATAAAAAGCAATGCAATTGATTATAATACTGCAAAATAAGTGCAAACTATTTTATGAAACTATTTTGAAAAATGTGCCCTAAATTTTGTTGATCGAGGTGTTTTCCGTAACTTTTCTCTTTTTCATTAGTCTCGGTAGCGTTTTGCTAATTATTTTTTGTGCCAATTCAAATTACAGAAAAGATGAGCGCAACGAGACAAATGAACTCTCAGCTAGCCGGTTTGAAGCCATCAATCGCGCCTCAAAAAAAATTATTGAATCAATTTATGTCTATGTCTATTTTCTATTTGCCTGAATCAAGTTCAGCGACTATTTTTTAAAGGTTAATACTCACGCGGATGTTAATTATGCAATCAAATGTTGATAGTCTGGCCAGATGATCATATTCGAGGACAAAACTTGGATTATTAATTTTCGGTAACGGTGGTCGGAGAATCATTTGCTATGGTTTGGAGTATAATCTGGATAGTCCAAAAAATGTTGCGTTAGCCTATAAAGACTGCTCGTATCAGGGCAAAGCCTTGAATGTTCCGACTGCCTTTTAACGTCTATTGAGCAGTAATAACATGAAAAACTAAGGATAAATATTTTTTTTTTCAAAATTTTAATTTTTTTTTGTAAAAATCATCACCTCACACACCATATAAAGTACAAATCATTAGCTTTCGCTCCTAATAACAAAATAATTATGGCAAAAAAGCTTCCTTCAACCAATTTGGAACGATTTCTAAGACGGATTTAATCACCGCTTACGCGTTAATAGCGCGAACTATATCGCGCGTTATTTGTCCCAATTTGGCCAAAATAGCAATTTCAAAACTCCCATAACTTTACCAAAAATAATCACAGTGAAATATCTTTCCACAATCTAGCGCATGACAACAATAAATTTTGAATGATATAAAAAATTTTGTCAAAAATGGCTAGTTAAAATGTCGAATTTTGTCTGAAGAAAAAACCCACCCCGAGCACTTGGAAGCTACACATGATTTCATGGAAAAGTCGCAGAAGTGATCGTTGGAAGTAAAAGTATTGAAGATTTGATGCTACAATGAGCAACTTTTAAATTTCGAAGCATACAAAAAAAGGGTCGCCGAGTAAACATCGAAACTTCAACAGAAGCATTCCTTTTTTAATTCAAACACTTATTGCTTAATTGCAAAATCAATTGCGGGCAAAAATTGAATAGGATAAGTTATGCAAAAATTTTGAACCGAGTCGTGAAATTTTTTGTTTACTGTTGTATCGGTCGCAGACAATTTTTCTCCGGTGGGGCTCTTTGCGAACATGATTTTTGGTCCCGCCGAGTGTAAAATTTTGTCTTTGTTTTTGACACTGCTCTGCTGTGCGTTGTGATCTACTTATTGTAATTTTTTTTGGATTTTTTTGTCCAA